TTTAAATGAATCTACTTATTTGCGTATGGAATAAAAAGGGACATTTTCTGGACAGTTTCGCTGCTTTGTGATCATGGGGGCAGGGACCCTTCAGGCTGCGGTGGGTGACGTCCCTCCCTCCCTGGAGCACCTTTCAGTGCTGACTGGGGACACCTGGGGCCCAGGGATGGGCCGGTGCAGGTGGGCATGGCGGATCTGAGTCAGAGGTGGTGAGCGCCGTGCCCCGTCTTCTACGACACCGGCAGCAGGGAGGAGGAAGTGGTGATGGTGTGTCCGAAGTCCTAGGGCCTTCACTGAAACCGAAGGCAGGAGCAGGTGAAGGCCGAGGCCGCTGGATGGCCGCTGGCATTTGTCACAGAGGCTCCGGCTGTGTGGTGCCGTGTGCACAGCCCTTTCCTATCTCATATGGAATTTTTCTTTGGGCCAAAACAAAGCCGTGGCACTCAAGGTCAGGCCACTGTGCTCTTGCCTCCGGCCTTCCTCACGGCCTACCGTCTCTGGTCGGCTGGGGCACTTGGGCAAAGCTGTTCATGGCCCATGGTGATGGGCTGTGAAGGAGAGCTGGTGCCCCTCTTGGACCATTGGGGCCACCGAACCTCCATCAGCCCCAAGCCGGCTGCTTTTGGGTGTAGCCAGCCCTGCCCTGGGTGGGGGAGGGACATGTTTGGTGTGTGTTGGAGCCTAGGGGAAAGGCGGTGTTCCGGCTTGAAGAGGTCACTTCCATGGCCCAATTTTGTCCCTAAGAAAACCCGTCTCCCTCCGGCTCCTTCACTGGAGAACAGACACTCCCTGGGTGAGCTGGGCAGCAGCTGGGCCACACGCTGGGCCTGGGGCCAGTAAGGTAGTGCCAGACAGCCAAGGAGACAGTGCGGACAGCGCTGCGGTCTGGGCTCAGTGCGTCTGTCTGTGTCTCTCTGCCATCCAGCTCCTGACCCCGAATCGTGTCCTCTCAGTCCTGGCCCCTGCCCGGGCCCATCGGATGGTTCCTTAACATGAGGCCGGCTTCCAGCAAACCCTTGGGGCCTCCTTCAGCCCCTGGGCCCTCAGGCCCACCCCTATGGGTTCCCAGGCCCTGCGGTGTGACAGTGTGGGCATTTTGAGAGACTCTTAGAGGGGGCAGCCATCCTTGGCCTTGAAGCAGCCCCCTCCCAAACCAGTGCCCACCCTGCAGGCTTGTGGCTGCCTGGACCCTTCCCACCTTTCCAAGGCTTGGGTCTGGCTCCCTCCCTGATTTGGGGCTGCCCCCCAGCTGCTTTCCTGGCTAACCCAGGAATTCAGTTCTCACTCGGCTTTATCTGGGAGAGACTCAGGTGAGGCCTCAATAAAACTAAATGAACGCTCCCGGTTGGCAGCCTTGAGGCACAGGGATTGTCCCAAGAGGCCCCTTGTGGTCACTCACGCACAACCCCCCTGCCCCTTCCCATGCCTCTCCCCACTGGGCCCTCTAGGCCTCGTGCCCCTGACTCGGGCTCCTGGGACCCTCGCCCTCCGGGCTTCTATCGCTTTTGTGCTGGCCTCACCCAGTCACCCGACACATCACTGCAAGTCCTGGGAACAGATCAGGGCACAGCCCGTGACACCGTGGAGCCTGCAAGCCCCGCGCAGGCCAGTGGGCAGAAGCAGCAGACTCCGCCTCTCCTTTTGAGGTCCAGGCACTGCGCACCATGGCACTGCCTTGGCCTTCCCAGCGGCGATGCTGCTTAGGACTGGCAGGGTCTCAGGGACTCGCACCAGGAGGATGCCTGCCTCCTCAGCCCTATTAGAATGGGATCATTGAAGTTCCGGCTAAAGAGGTTATCACTGCGAGGCAGCTGTGTTATTCGACTGCTTCTGGCCGAGGTGGGTGCAATCCCAAGGTCGCGTGGTCACTGTAGGGCGCCTCTGAGTGCAGTTTTGGCGCCAAGGTCTGAGGGTGAGTCCCCTTATAGGCGGATCAGTCGAGGGCGGCCACAACAACTCCAGGAGTCATCTGACTCCTGGCCACCTAGAAGCAGGAAGGGTGAGGGCCCTATGGGCACTGGTTTTAGATCATCCACTCTGGCTGCTGGGGAAACCTTGGAACCGGTCACCGGGCTAGTCTCGGCCGCCAGCATCGGAGGGGCAGTCAAATGCAGGGTAGTTTCCAAGACAGTGGATGTGTCTTTCGATAGAATTAGTTTAAAATCGGGCTGGAGAGCATTTTATGGGCCTCTGCTCGGGGCTCGCCCTGGTGGGAAGGAGGCTGCCGGTGTGGGAGGAGGGGACCATTCCCGAGCTCGGGGAAGGGCCGGGCCTGGAATACTGTAAGAAAGAAAGCAGATCCCAAGCTGGATTAGGCCACTGGGCCCAGAAAAGCCGGCCCTGTTCTGTTATCTGGAGGGCTCTGGCATGTTCGGGCTGGCACCGGAAGGCAGAATAATCCAGAGAGAAGCAGTGTAGGACTCAGAGCCCACGGAGCCCTGGAGGGCGTGCGGGACCAGGGTGGGGGTACTCCTGGCCCCCCTGAGCCCTGAGCTCCAGCACCATCGATCGCAGGCGCACCTCGGGTGTGTTGGCTCCGCTGCTGGCAGAAGATGAATGACTTCGATCTGTCTCCACCACATGCGCCATGCGCCCTCCCCCTCACCTCACCCTTCCGCACCTGAGGCCGGATTCCAGCCACCCTGAGCTGCTCAGGGCTTCCAGGTGCACAGCTGTGAGCACCGCGGGGTGCAGCAGGCTGTGCACATCCTGGACACATGCCTTTGCTGGACCCGGTCCGGCCTCCCCGTGACCGTAGTCATGCCCCTTCTCTTCTCCAGGCCTCGGTCTCCCCATCACACGCCCATGGTGAGGACTGGGGTCTGTAGTTTGTAAATGCTGGGCCTTCTGTGATTTGAGTGAGGCCAGCAGGGTACCCCAGGCCAGCAGGACTTCTCCCCCCAGCTCCCAGCTGGCACGTGACCTGCCTCCTCTGGGCCTCTCAGTGCTCTGGGACTACAAGAGCTGAATCCCCCTGGAGCTGGCCTGAGGGGTGGGAAATCAAGTCCCCCCATCCCCCAGAGTTGGATATCTGGAACCTCCGAAGGTGAAGTCCGTGCCCGGAGCACCAGGAAAGGCCACTCAGGTGGCATTTGGTGTGAAGGATGTGCTGTCTGGGCATAAGGGTCCTGTTGGGAGCTGATGATCAGGCAGAGATTCCCAGCCTAGCTCAAATTCCACAGGGATCGGAGGTGCCAGAATCCTGGAGGCTGACTTGGGCCTGCCCCATTTCCCCAGGTGGTTGCATTGCCTTGGGACACTCCAGGCCCTTGGCTGAGAGAGCAGGCAGCAACAGGGCTCTGTGCTCCCTGCTTCCTCCAAAGCCGCAGTGAGGGACAGACCTGTGCCCGGTCACTGCCCTTGCAGCTGCTAAGTCCCCTCTGCGCACCACCCAGCTCGGCCTTTGCACTTCTGAGCGCCCACCGACTCCCATTCAGGCAGAAGCACCCTGAGAAGATCCTCCTCATCAGGTGCAGGGGAGGGGTGCCCAGTGCCCTCATCCAGCTGCCGTGAAGGGAGGCTTCCCAGAGCCTTGGCTCTGACCCCACCCTGAAGGGAACCTAGCTGGGCGGAGGCCAAAGGCACTGGACCAAGGTGGGGTGAGCCTCACGAAGGAGGCGGGGAGAGGCCAGGTGGGCTTCTCTTTTTCTTTCTATATGTCAGTGCCTCTCCCACAAGACCCTTTTGTGACCTTCTGCCCCACCTTGCAACTTGTCGGAAAGGGAAACCGAGGTTCTGAGAGGGGCAGGGTGGCACTGAGGCTCCCCGTCGCCCTCCTCCACCCGCCGGGGGGAGGCAGCAGGCTTGACCTGCACCCGTGCTGCTGCTGCTTCTCCCGGCCTGTCCACTCATATGCTTCATACCCTTCGGCCGCCCTGCCCCTCTGGTGCCAGAGTGGGCATGCCTGTCACAGGTCCCGCTGGGAAGTGGGGTCCCAGCCGCCGCAAATACGTTCCCTAGAAGTGTCTCCTGGACCCCTCAATCCCCAGGTCAAGGTGGATCACCCAGTGAATGGCTGCCCTGGAGGGAAACAGAGAGGTGAGCACCCCTTCACAGGTGGGCCGGAGAGGGGCAGCCCTGTCCTCACAGAGCTAGGCTCTGCGTGTAAAGCCGGAAGGACACACAGGACAAAGGTGCAGAGAGGGGGTGAGAACCGCGAAGTGGTGGACCAGCCAGCCTGGGGAGCTGACTGCCCTGGCAGGGTTCTGCAGCTGCGGGGCTCAGTTTTTATTTTTTTATTATAAAACGAATAGTGCTTGTTATTATCTGGACATTGCAGTGAAGTTCAAACGTTAATATGTCTGCACCTCCAACATCAAAAGCCAACTGCCTCTGAGTGTTGGGTCAGGCCGTGGATTTACCGGAAATTATGATTTATGCCGTATTGTTATTTTTAAAAAAGTTCTTATCAGTGAAAATGCATTTATGTATTCACCGGTGAAAATGTGACTGCTTTACAGTAAGGCAACAAAAAATCAGTTAGTAAAATTAAAAGGCGGCGAATAGAGGAAACTAGACGAGTCAGGCGTTCAGAGCTGCGGGATGGGGGTGGGTATATGGGAGTTCACTTGAAGGCTCCCTCGATTTTGTTTTATATTTGAAAATTTCCATAATAAAATGCTTTAAAAAGTGACTACCAGGAAACCTGAGGAGCGCGCGCCCCCAGCGCGGAATCTCTGCCGGCCGCTCGGGTCGCAGGTTTGTTCCGCCCGGTCCGGGTCTCACTTTGGTCCGGCTTGCACTCTGCTGTTGACTTTTTCCTGCTTAGCTAGAATGTTCGCATTTACACCCATTAATGCGGTCTCTATAGAACGGCTTCAGGCTTAACCCTTCCTCTTTTCCACGCAGCTTTCCCGGCCTCCGCCGTTTCTCCACTGGTACCGGTGCCCCCTCCAGGTTCTGCGACCCAGGCACCTGCGCCGGGGCGTCGGGAGGCCTCAGACCGCACGGA